TTTCTGAGGCCAGAGTCCCTACTTTTCTCACCATGTCACAACCTCTCACCAGTGTGCAAGGGAGGAAGCCAAGCATGACCCCAGGCTTGAGAACGTGAACAAAACCACAAGGCCTGGAAGCAAGTGAAGATCGCACAGCAAAGCAGGCAGAGATGGGGGAGGGGTCCATGGTGAAGGCAGCAGGTAGGGGATGGAAGGTAACAGAACATTTGCCTAGAGAGGAGGGCACTCTAGTAGGAGTGGCCAGTACATGAATGTGTTTGGAAAGATGAGTAATCATACAAGCTGTGTGGCAAACATAAAGAGGCACATGGATCACTTGGGGATGTTGTTAAAAATCCAGATTATGAATCGGTAGGGCTAGAAAGGGCCTGACACTCTGCTCTTACACAAAGTGCCCCCCATGCTGTTTTCCAGGGAGACACCAAAGAGAGAAGGAAGGGAGACTATGGGGAAAAGGTGTACAGGAGATGGCAGGGGTCCAGCATGGGCTACTGCACCATCAACAGTTTGGTTCATCTGTCTTTTTTTTTTTTTTTGTACCTGGGATCAAACTCAGGGCCTTGCACTTGTGAGGCAGGTGGCCGAACCATTGAGCTAAATCCCCGACCCCCTCATCTGTCTTTGGTATGGAAAACTTGAATTAAAAAAAAGAAAAAGAAAATTTGAATTCAGTTTGGCACATGGTCACTTGAGGGGATAAGTGGACAAGTCCAGAAGACAAATGTTTAGGAGGTCAGATGCCCAGGAAAAGGCCCAACATGGAGCTCTTCCTGGAATCCTCCCGTGGGTTTTGTAATTGTTCTCAGAACTGTCCCAACCCCCATGAGAGCTGATGTGTCCAGCTAGAGATACCTTATCCTTTCTGTTCCTCAGGGTGATGTGGGTAAGGATGAAAAAGGATGTGATAGTTGAGCATGGTGGTGCACTCTTGTGTTCCCAGCACTTGGGAGGCTGAGACAGGAGGACTGCCATGAGATTTTGCCAGCCTGGTCTACAGAGTGAGTTCAAAGCCAGCCTGAACTACACAGTGAGACTCTGTCTCAATCCGCCACCCAAAAAAGAAAAAGAGAAAAAGGATGTGAGTTGCTTTGCATTTCTTGGGGGCTACTCCAGGGAATGGAAAGAATACCAACCTGCCTTGCTGGGAGCAATTCTACATAATTTTAGGGAAAAATCATTTGATTAGGCCTAGCTCTCCTGCCTACAGGCCAGCTATGGCATTTCGAAACATAACTCCATTTTGGCCTCCAGTCACAACTGAGACCTCAATGGCCAGGTGATGCTGTGATTCTCCAGGACAAGATTACACCAGTTGAAGACATCCTGGGAGGAACAAAATCTTCATCTGCATAGTTCCTCATTATTCAAGGATTTCCTCTGCCCCACCCCCCAGTCATCTGTTACTTTTGTTTCTCCCAATGTGCTGAACTCTCTGTCCCTTTGTCACATTTGTTTCTCTTGATGTACTCAATAAAAGGTGCCCCAAGCTTGGGGGCTTCCATCTTTCTGCCCAGAGCAGCACTGATCAGGCCCAAAGCTCAGCTTCTTCTCAAAGTCTCATTTTCGCTACCTTTCCTGTGTGAGACCAAAGCGACTTCATTTTGCTAAAATCCACTATTCCCCTAGTCTCTATTGTCCTCACAAATTAATGGTTAAAATGTGCTTGCTCTGGGACAAAAGACACAATCGGTAATGAAGCAAAGTTCCTAAGTTAATTACTCAACCATCTGTTTGCCCAGGAAATGAACGTTCAGGGTCCACTCTCTATAGAACAATCTGTCAATGTGCTGACCGTCAGTACATGACAATCGGCTACTAACCTTTGTTCCTGCTTCCCGTAAAATCGCCATGTCATTGCCCCTCGAACAACCCCCTCCCCGCCCCGGTCGTTCGCGGTCTTGGCCCAATGGGCCTGGCCAATTAAAAGTGTACATCTCATACTTGCTAAATGTCAACCAATCATGTAACTGCTAAGTGGAAAATCCCCAAACCTTACTGTAACCCCTATAAAAACCCTGCTAATTTGAAATTCGGGGCTCTCAATCCTGACCCGCTGCGCCGGCGGCGACGATTGAGAGTCCCTGCTCGAGCTTGAATAAACGACCCTCGTGTGTTTGCATCGGAATCGGCTCCTTGGTGGTCTTTGGGGACTTCGCGATCTGGGCACAACACCTGTACAATACGTTAATTTACCTTGTGCTGCCGCGGCTAGCAGGAGACTAGGACTTACTGCAGAGGTTCTAGTAATGTCCCCTTTCCCTGTTCCCTACACTGCTTCACTGTGTGAGTGAGAGGCACTAGTGGCATGAAGGCCAGAGGAGCTCCAGAACTCATTTTGGCTCTTTTTGCCTCTCACTGAAGAGGACACAAACCGAGTCAACTCTGCCTTCTGATTACCTTGCACGTCCCCCTTCCCCATGCCATTCTATTCCACTGCCTGAGGTCAGGGCCTCATGGTGTCTCATCCCTCTTTTGTTGCCAAGGGTGTCCCTGACTGTAGCCTCTCTCAGCTCTTACCCACTTACTTGCAGAGGGTTTTTCTGGTCACAAATCTGAACATCATCACCTCTCTTTAAAGCCATTAGTCCAAGTGTCTGCAGAATGCTTCCTCACGCCCATCCTCCCTCCCCAATCTCCAGCCCAACCCCTTCCCTGACTGTGAGGGGCCTCTTCTCTGTGACCTGGGAACATTGTTAGTTCTGTCTGAAAATTCCACCTGGCCACATTTACATCCTTTCAACTTGCTGCTTCCCAGGAAGTGCATGTCTCTCTTCTAGCCCTCCACCCTGAGCTCCAGGAGGCCTCTTAGAGCAGCTGAATACCCAAGTGTCTCCTTGGTGATTTGGGGAACCTGTGCTGTGAGTTACGGCCAGCTATGTCTCAGCACACATCACAAAAGGATAGTGACCCCATGTCAGGTAAAAGGCGGAAGACCAAGACCAGACCAGGCCACAACAAGCCTTTTTTAGGGGAATAGATCTGCCGGGCTGTCTCTGAACAAAGGAGAGACAAAAGCAATACGGACAGGACAGCAAGTACCTTTTATAGAGGCTTGTAGGAGCTGAGGTGGGGTTGAGTGAGGTAGTGGCTAGGGACTGGAGGAGCCTGTGATGTCACTAGTTGCCAGGAGGAGAGCAAGTATTAGGCTACTCTTTTGGTGGGAGTAGGGGCATGTTGGAAAGAAGGTAGCTATTATATACAGCAGCCATCCTAAATTGGAGGGAAATCTATCACTCTGGGCACACATGCAGCCACGAGAGGATCTGAGTGATGGGTCTGGGCTCTGAGCTCTCTGCTTAGGACCTGATTCTGCTCATTCATCCATTTCTATAAGATGCATTTATTCAGCTCATTGAAATGCTTTTGTGGACTCACTTGAACGCTGATGAGAATAAACCAACTATTCAAATGTGTTATGATCCAATTTAGGAATTCATATGCTAGCTCTTTGATGAAATTTGATAATGATAAATTTTAATATTAGAGCAGAATTTTATGGTTATATCTACAGAAAACATGTTTCCATTTCAAAGAAGCGTAGTAAACTATATCTTCAACAATACATAAATACACATGCACAGTGATAGTCATCACTGAGTTTGTAATTTCAAAATACTACAAAACCCCAAAATGCCCATATAGGCAAGCAGAGGTACAAACTATGATGCAAACAATGAAGAAATTTGCAGCTGTAAAAAAATAGAAATTTCTTTTTCAACTTTGAGATGATTTTTTTGTGACCTATTTGTTTGTTTTTTTGTACCAGGAATTGAATTTAGGACCTTGTGCTTGCCAAGCAGGTACAGTGCCACTGAGCTAAATCCCCAGCATTCTGTGATCCATAATGAAGTGAAAATAACAACAAAACAAGAAGCAGAGGGTGTCTGTTATCCTTCAAGTAAGGAAGGACAGGTTATAAGAAAATAAATACTCAAGGCTGTGGATTTCTTGATTGCATTCAGGTTATGTAAGATGTTTTTATTAGAGGACAATAGATGCAGGATATTTTGAACTCTAATAGTTCTGTAATTTTTCTGTAGATTCAGTAGTTTCAAAAAAAATTAAGTGACACAAATTATTTTATTTCTGATGAAATAAAATGAGATTTGCTTCAAATATTGCTTACGATCGTTGACAAACATGCCCTCAGCTGGCTCCCAGTTGATGGGGGAAGCCAGATAGAAACCCATTGGAGAAGAACTATGTGAAAGGGGAAGTAGAGAATGGCTAGGAGGAGGGGAGAAGGGGGCTCCCAGCTAAAGCACCAGTGCATGAAAATCCTCGGGCTACAGAGAATGGCTGAAGTGCAGCCAAGAAGAGAAGGTCCTGCAAATGACACAGGCAATCCAGCCAAGGTCTTCCCACTGGCTGCTGAGACTTCAGCCAGATTCTGTGGGCTTCTGAATTATGCAACTGTATTCATAATTTAGCCCCTTTACAAATGTAGATTGCTATCTTGCATTTTTCTCTATCAAGATGCCTTCCATGACACCACTCTCCTACGGCAGTCTCCTTCAATCACTACAAGGGTTTGTTGGTTTTTTTTAATATGCCATAAACTTTACAGCCTATTTTATGAAATCCTTTGGAAGCAGAGGAAAACTGAATCCCAATGACCTTCTGGGGCAACCATAAGAATGTCAAATCCCTTTTAGTGCATTCATGGAGTACCTTCAAATGCACTGCAGGTAGATACAGAAATATGTTTAGAAGTAAGTTTAGAGGTGAATAAATATATATGCATACATTTCCACTGACAAGGGGCTAAGATCCCTTTGTCATTTGTTTTCTTTCTTTCTTTTTTTTTTGGTACCAGGGATGGAACTCAGGTCCTTGCACTTGTGAGACAGGTGGCGGAACCACTGAGCTAAATCCCTGGCCCTGTCATTTGTTTTCTAATGTAGTTGGACTTTGGAACCTTGAAAGCAGTGGGAGTGGCTGTTCCCTATTGGACTTGACCTTCTTCCAAAGCAAGAGTTTTCATAATATTAAAGTAACTACAGTCAGCACTCAGGAGGTTGAGGCAAGAGGATTGCTGCAAGTTTGAGGCCAGCCTGGGCTGCATAGTGAATTCAAGGCCAGCCTGAACTACATAGTGAGATCCTGGCTCAAAAAAAAGAAAGAAAGAAAGAAAGCTAACATATCCATACTCAGCTGGCCTTGAGGTGCTGAGCTGAGTAACAGCCTGGACATTGCTCATGTTGGTGTTGCCTTTTAAAATCTTCATAACTGTTCTCTTGTCTGTTTCAGTAGGAAAATTGTCTTAGTTACTTTTTTTGTTGCTGAGACAAGATATCTGACACCCAAAGTTAAAGAAGGAAAAGTTTATTTCAGCTCACAGTTTGTAGAGGTTTCAGTTCATAGTTGTCTGGCTCCAAGGCAGGACGGCATGGCAGAGGGGCACCACAGAAGTGAAACAGTCCATGGCAGGCAGAAAGTAGAGGCAGCAAGGCAGCAAGCGGCAAGCTACAAGAGACAAGCAGTGACCCTCTTTCCCTTATATGTTATCCATGTTGCCCCCTCTTAGGCCAAGTAGCACACCCAGGTTGGGGCAGCTTTAATCTTAGCATTGCACCATGAATCAATCCCAGCATCACATCCTTGATCCCAGCCCCACACACCCTAGATACAGCCATCTCTGAAAAGCCCCACCTATGATCGCATGAAGCCAGATACATGTCATAACAAAAACATTTTTATTTTTAATTTTTTTTTTTTGCTTTTTGAGACAAGGTCTTGCTATATAGCTCAGGCTGGTCTTGGAGTCACTACGTAGCCCAGGCTGGCCTCAAACTTGCAGTGATCCTCCTGCCTCAACCTCCTGAGTGCTGCAATTACAGGCATGCACCACTACACCTGGCACAGAAAGGTTTTAAATGTGGTACTTTGGGTGAGTACTTTATGTTCTTCTGCCTTCTTTGTGTGGTCAGGGAACAGTTCAAGTATTGTTGATACTTTATGAAAAATCATAGCAAAAATTTATAAAATGAAAGCAAAAGTAATTGATGATATGAGAAAAATGAGTGGTGTCATTGTCAGCAACCTAAAAATACAGCCATGGGAGTGCCGGGGGATGCATAGGAACTTATGATAAAATTGTGTTGTCTGTTAAACAGGTGATATTAGAGTGATTACTGCAGGAGTATGCACTCAATAAAACTGGATTTGTATTTGCGAGGAGCACATATTTGGGGAACTACTTTAGCAATGAAAAGGCCATGGATATGGGTGAGTGCATACCTCTTTTGTGCTTCTTGAAGTGGAATGTTCAACTTGGAAATCAATTTTCTGTGCTTGCCAATCAAAATCTAAATTTACACTTCTGTAACTGATTGCCCAGTTGCTAATATTCCTGAAAGTTATTTTGTCACTGCCCATAAAGTATCAGACTGATTAGACTGTCTCCTCTTCCTCCTCTTTGTTTCTTCTCTTCATCTCCTTCTCCTCCTCCATCCCTCCATCTCCTCCTGCTCCTTTTCCTTTCTCTCCTCCTCTTTTGTTTTCCTCTCTGTTCTTATTTCTCCTCCCACTCCTTCAGTGGTAGTGAAAGCTAAGGGTGGACATGGCTTAGACTCAAAATTGCCAATGAGTCTGAATATATAGGACTCTTAGGATACTGAGGAAAGTGGAGCTAGATTTACTTCTTAGACCAACTTAAGAACAGTGCCATTCTCATGACCCACTATGATCCCAGTCTGACAGAGCATTTGCAAATTCCTTTGATTTGCCAAGTAAATATTTTTCTCAGGTACCTTGCCAAAGCACTTAACCAATTTTTAAAATTCAATTTGTTTCTATTATGTAGAAGACTTTCACTGTTTTGATAATTCTGTCATGAGCAGACTTATCAGGATTATCAGAAATAGCATATTTCATCACAATTCCTTAAATCATAACCATGATACTAGCTTACTGTTTGTTTGCCCTATACTAACTGGATCCTTAAATAGTGAGCCTTATAAGGGAAATGCTAAAAAAAAAAGGGTGACTCTTGAGCTGCCAAGCCATGTCACATTATAAACTTTGGACTTAATATTGCATAGACTGGGTGTGTGGTACATACCTATAATCTCAGTTTGGGGGGCTGAGACTGGAGGATTATTGTGAGTTCAAGGCCAGCCTGTGCTACATAGTGAGTTGGAGGTCAGCCTGAACTATATAGCTAGACCCTATCTCAAAAAACAAAACAAAACAACAACAAAAACCCAAAAAACAAACCCCCAAAACAATTGCGTAATGTGCCACAATAACACTAGGACAACTTTGCTGCTTTGTGGGCGCTCACAATTGAGTGTGTGTAGGGAGGGGACAAGAAAACTATAACTTTTAAGGCTATGAAAAGTCAGTAATAAGACACAGTTGGAAGTAACTAGCCTTAACGTCAGAAGAACTGGGTAAGAATCTAGACTTTGTCACTTGCAGGCCAGTTGGAAATTAGTCTGTCTAGGGTTTCAACCATTCCACGGGGACATCCATATTGGACGAAGAGATAGCTGATTCCTCAATTCCCTCTAGCTCTATACTATGGAGAGTTTTGAAGGGAGAACAGGTACATCAGTGGAGTATATACCAAGTCCTTACAAGGCACACAAGTTTCCAAGTGGGATGTAACTTAATGAGAATCAGTGGTGCTCTGGAATCATTGCCAACAGTAAAAGAATACAATGAAAATTTTGTACAGGAAAGCTTCAGAATGTTAGACCTTGTGAAAAAAACCACAGTGCCCTTGGAAGATACTGAAATGATACGGAATAAACAGCTTTTTCAGATACCCACAAGGAGCAACTCTAGTGGAGACTTCTGATGGATGAAAAAAGCTGTTGAGGCTGGATGATGGCAGCCTAGTAGGTAGGAGCCTGATGGTGCAGAAAGAGTAGGTCCTTCATTCTCAAGCCGGCAGCCTTCGTCCCTGACTCTGACTTGCTTGATTAAGACAGTGATGTTATTTGGGCTGAATTCTCAGGAACTGATTGTAGGGAGCAGGGGAAGGGGATGTTACCAGAACCTCTGCAGTAAGTCCTAGTCTCCTGCAAGCCTCGGCAGCACACGGCGAATTACAGGAAAGGTAGAAAAATGAGACTAAGAAGCTGAGCTTTGGGTCTGATCAGTGCTGCTCTGGGCAGCAAAGACAAAAACCCCTAGCTTGAAGCACCTTTTATTCAGTACATCAGGAGAAACAAATGTAACAAATGAATATGTAGACTTCAGTACTTCATACTGGGATAAACAAGGTGTAACAAAAGACTGGGGGGCGGTGGAAATCTAAGAACAATGAGGAACTATGCAGATGAAGATTTGGTTCCTCCCAGGAACTACACAGATGAAGATTCGGTTCCTCCCAGGGTGTCTCCCGAAGATGTGGTCTTGTCCTGGAGCATTACAGCATCATGGGATCCTTGAGGTCTCAGTTGTGACCCGAGGCCAAAATGGAATTACGTCTCAGAATGCCATAGCTGGCCTGTAGATGGAGGAACTAGGCCTAATCAAATGATTTTTCCCTAGAATTATGTAGCATTGCTCCCAACAACTGATAAAGTGTAGCAACTGTAGGACAGGATGGTTTGCTCTTCTAGGTGTCCATGAGCCTGTGCTAATGACTAGGTTTAAACCTCTTTAGGGCAGAGACTAAATCAGGCTGATATCTTGTGTCCTACCAATCCTAGTCATTGCTTGACACAGGGAAACTGCTCAACAACTGTTAGGAAATAATTACTAAGATGGAAATAAGAACTAAGATGTATTATGCATATGTACCAACTCCTCATGATGAATGTAACCATTATATGTGGCAAACATGAACTAATAAAAATTTTAAAAATAAGCATGTAAAGAGATAAAAAGGAAGTAATTTGGTAATTGAATCCTTGCTTTTTACTGAACCCTGTGGTTTGGTATGCAACCCTGATCTGACTTGCTCAGCTCCTCAGTAGAGCCTGCCTGGTCCCTCTGAGTGCCTCTTTCTGGCTCCCTTCTATGTGCACTTCCTCTAAGCAGCTTGGAATATGCCACTGAATGAGGCTTAGTGAACACACCCCAGTGCACAGGACAGCCACCATGACAAAGCCTTGCCCAGCCCAAAATGTCCATAGTGCAGAAAGCCTCGGAATAGAGCAACACAGAGCTGCCACACTTCTTTGTTCAGCCCTAGTTGGGTATATTTCTTACATTTTACAACAACACAGAGCACATGCAGACAGATAGGCATAGTCACAGCATCAATGGAAATAAAATTAAAGTTCCACAAAAAAGTACTTATCTTTACCACATATAACACATTCTGAAAAATTCTATGACTTTGGAATTTAAAGATGCTACCCAGAACCTGTGGAGTTGATTTTATAATCCAGTCATGTCATGATCCCCAGTTCGGAAAACAGTGGCATAAAAATGTACTAAAGAATATTTTGGTTCTATGCACACATTCATTGATTCATGCATTCATTTATATTTAGAGAAAGCAAGAAGCTACTAATATGGTGGGGAAGCTGGTGCTTCGTCACTTCAATGTCCGGGGCAGGATGGAGTCCATCTGGTGGCTCTTGGCTGCAGCTGGAGGAGAGGTAGGTTGTTAGTTCCTCTGTTAGACCTAAAATTGACTCTACCAAAACATTTTTCTAAACCAGAAGACTTCCATTCTAGAAAACTTGTGAAAAATTTAGCCATAAATAAACATATCCCTACTTATAAAGAAAGAACTAGACCAATTGGGCAAACAAAATTACAATTATCATTCCAGGAAAAAGCACATAAACAAAAACATTTTTAAAGAATCAGAAGAAACATCAAATAATTGTAATGTGTCGGCCTTGTTTAGATTTAAATAAACTGCATACTTTAGGATCTTTATACAGCAATTAGAAACTTGAATATTGGTTATTAGGTGAAATTAGATATTTACAGTTAATTTTTAGTGTGATTTTGAGTGTGATATAGTTGTTATTTTAAAAACAGCCCTGTGCCGGGGATTTAGCTCAGTGATTCTGCCACCTGCCTCACAAGCACAAGGTCCCGAGTTTGATCCCCGGTACCAAAAATTTTTTTAAAAAATTAAAAACAGTCCTTATGTTTTAGATACACACACCAAAGTGTTTCTGATGAGATAATATTATACTTAGAATTGGCTGGATATAATGACTAAAGTAGGAGAGAGGATGGGAATAGAGATAATCTAGAGTAGATTGAATTGGTAATTACTGGAGCTGGGTGACTGATATAACAACAATTCTTGTGTTTTGCGTATATTATTACTGTGCATTATGCACAGTAGAAATTTATAGGATAAAAAGGATAAAAATATAAGAAACTAAGTGTAGTTAGACAACAGAGAAGGGGGAGGAAAGGGTAACAAACTGTCTTTAAAAATAGAATACATCATTTAACAAATTTTTTTTGAGCATCTATTAAATGCCACGTTCTGTGCTAGGTCCTGAGGACTCAAGGTGAGTAAGAGAGACAGGGTGCCAGATGATTTCAGTGTGAGGTGGGAGGAAGCATTGCCTTTTATTCAGTTTTTATTTTTTATTAGTTCATGTTTGTAGTATATAATGATTACATTTCTTGTGGGAAAATTACATGTACATAATTACATGTACAGTTCTTGCGGGGATTATATGTACATAATACATCTCAATTAGTTTTTCACCCCCTTCCCCTCCCTCTCTCCCCTTCTTTTCATCTTTTGATCCCTTTCCCTTGAAGAAGATCTATCTCCCTCCTTCCTATAATCTAAGTTTTAGTTTGTTCTTTATTTATATTTTTGGTTTTTCATATGAGAGAAATCATGTAATATTTAAGCTTGTATGTCTGAGTTATGTCACTTAACATTTATGGTCTTAAAGTGTATCTATTTTCCTACAGATATCTCAAGCTCATCTTTCTTTATGGCAGAGTAATTCTCCACTGTGTATAAATACCATATTTTCTTTTTTTTGTTTTTGGTACCAGGGATCGAACTAGAGTCCTTGCCCTTGTGCAGCAGGCGGTGAAACCACTGAGCTAAATCCTTGGCCCTACCATATTTTCTTTACTCATTCATCTGTTTATGGACATATAGGCTGCTTCCAGATTTGGTTATTGTGAAATGTGCAAAATATGATGTCTTTAAATGTTTAGGGGAATGGGCCGGGCATTTAGCTCGGTGGTTCCAGCGCCTGCTTTGCAAGTGCAAGGTCCCGAGTTCGATCTCTGGTGCCAAAAAAAAAAAAAAATCTTTTGGGGAAGGGGAATAGCTGAGTCAAATGAAATTTCTAGATTTAGTTTTCTGAGGATTCTCCATTCAGGTTTCCACAGTGGCTGTACTAGTTTACATTATCAACAACAATATAGGAAAGTTCCTTTTTATGCACAGCCTTGACAAGATTTATTATGTTTGATTTCTTGAAAGCTATTTTTTCAGTTGTAAGATGGAATTTTATTATTATTTTAATTTTCATTTCTGTAATGGCCAGTGATGGTAAACATTTTTTTCATGTATTTATTGGTTATCTGTACTTTTTCTGAGAAGTGTCTATTCATCTCATTTGCCCATCTTTTAATTGGGTCTTTTATTTTGGGGAGTCTAGTTTTATTGTTGTTGTTTTGAGATAGGATCTTGCTATGTAGTTCAGGCTGGCCTTGAACTTACTATGTAGCGCAAGCTGGCCTCAAACTCATGGGGATCCTCCTGTTTAAGCCTCCTGAGTGCTGGGACCACAGGTGTGCACTACCATGCCTGACATGGAGTCCAATTTTTTTTGAGTTAGTTACATATTCTAGATATTAGTCTTCTCTATGAGGCGTAGCTGGCAAAATTTTTTTTCCCATTTTTGTAGTTTGTCTCTTCACTCTTCTCATTGTTCCTTTTGCTGTGAAGATACTTTTTTATATCTCACCATGTACTAAACTATATCAAAATCTGAACTGAACAGACACTTCTCAGATGAAGAAGTACAAGAGCCAATAAATATACGAAAAAAATGTTCAACATCCCTGGCTATTTGACACATGCAAATTAAAACAATGCTGAGGGCTGGTGATTTAGCTCAGTGGTTCCACCAGCGCCGCCTGCCCTGCAAGCTCAAGGACCCAAGTTTGATCCCCGGGACCAAAAAAAACAACAACCCCCCCCCCCAAAACAATACTGAGCATCCATTTTGCTCCAGGAAGAATGGCTAGCATAAAGAAATCAACCAATGATGAATGCTAGAGAGGCTGCTGGGTAAAAGGAATCCTTTTTCATTGTGGCTGGGAGTGTGAACTAGTGTAACCATTATGGAAATCAGTATGGAGATTCCTCAAAAGACTAAAAGTAGGGCTGGGGATTCAGCTCAGTGGTTTTGCCGCCTGCTGTGCAAGCGCAAGGACCCGAGTTTGATCCCTGGTACTAAAAAAAAACCCCACAAAAAACAAAAAACTAAAAGTAGGAGCTAGGGATATATAGCTCAGTAATGCAACACTTGCCCGGCAATCATGAGGCCCTGAGTTTGATTCCTGGTACCAAAAAAGAAAACAGAAAAAAAAGTCCTAAAACTAGAAATTCCATTTGAGCCACTTATTTTCCTTCTGGGTATCTTCCTGGAAGAGTTAAAGACATCATATCATAGTGATGTGTGCATACCCATGTTTATAGCAACACAATTCATAAGAGCTAAATCTTGCAAGCAGCCTATATGTCCATCAACAAATGAGTGGATAAAGAAAATGTGGTCTTTCTTTCTTTCTTTCTTTCTTTCTTTCTTTCTTTCTTTCTTTCTTTCTTTCTTTTTTGGTACTGGGGATCAAACTCGGGTCCTTGCGCTTGCGCAGCAGGTGACAGAAACCACTGAGCTAAATCCCCGGCCCCTAAAAATGTGCTATATATACACAGTGTGGTATTTATACACAGGAGTACTACTCTGCAATAAAGAAGGATAAAGTTAGGAGAATGGATCCACCTTGAGACGGTAATGTTAAGTGAAGTAAATCAGACACACAGGCTTAAATATGGCAGGTTTCTCTTATATGAGGTATCCAATATATAAATAAAGTGCAAAATAAAAGACATACAATAGAAAAAAAGAGAGAAAAAAATGTTATTATAATCCAGCATGGACAATATATCTAAAGGTGTATCTTGATTTAATATAATTGTTTTACGTGTTTTTTATGTTTTTTGGCCTGTTAGTCTGGCTATTTATCTGTACTTATGATAATTGACTTGGTAAGGTCATATAAAATAAATAAATGAATCTGATACTGGCAATTTTTTTTTTTTTAAAAGACGGTAGAAGGGAAGGGGAAAAAAGAATTGAGATGCGTTATGTACATGTACCAATTCCCCACATGAATGTTATTATGTACTGCAAATGTACTCATAAAAGTAAAGAAATTATAAAAAATGGATCAAAGACCTAAATGTTAAAACAGAAACGTCTGATGGAAGATAAAATAGGTAAAACTCTTGAAGACACAGGCATAGGCAGGGACTTTTTGAATAGAACCCCAATGGCACAAGAAATAGTATCAAGGATCAAAAATGTGATCATATAAAGCATGGCCTTTTAAGGACATTTTTGTACCTTCTGAGGGGAAATACTTGTAGGACTCTGTGACTGCTACCCTCTAGAGGCATCACTGGTAAAAGCATACTTTGCAATACAGACCAGAAATTTTTGTAATAAGGGTTGCCTGGGGAGGAAATCATGGACATGCTAAGATGTTGTCCCACAGGTGCCAGCAGAAAAGGAAGGTTAGAGGGTGCTATGTGGTCATATCCTGAGAAGGGAACTTCTGGGGTACTCCCTTAGTATCCATAGCAATGTGTTTACTTAAGCCAGGGGAACACTGTTTCTCAGTCCTTCCTAATCTGACCTTTTTAATCTGACCCTTTTAAAATTTTATAAAGAAGGAAGTGCACAAAATATCCAAGTACTGCAGTAGTGCCATTCTAGGTTTTGTTCTTTCTATAAAGAACTGATCTGCTTTCACCATTTGCCAGTTTGGTATTTCTGAGATACATTTTAAGCCTCCAAGCAGGATGAGTTGAGCTCAGAAGGGGGAAGTAGGGGTAATGTCCTAAACACAGAAGGCTTCTGCTTTTCCATCCAACCAACTCTGAACAGGGTAGTGGGCAAGGGCTCCCTGAAAACCCTTGCTCAGACCTTCTGGGTTCTCTCTTCCCAAAGACTGGTAATTATGGCCTCATCAGTGCCCATCAGCTGCACCATCCCTAACCCATCCTACTTTGGTTACCTTCCTCGGTGAATAATCCTGATCCTTAATAGTTTTGTGGATGCTGTGTAAATTGGTGGTGTCTACTCTTCATCATCTGTACAGCCTAACTCTATCAGACTAGGAAAATCAACAACAAACCCTGTGCCACCAAGCAAGCTAGAAAGTGATTTTCCAACCTTTTTATGATTACAAACTTTTCTTAAACTATGAAAAAGACAGGAGTGATAGAAATTACATTACAGGGTCAGTGATGGCAAAATGTTAGTCATTGACCCAAAACATACACCATGATAGGTACACAATGGTTCTATTCTCATTCCATTAAACATCACAGCTGAGATACTAAAACCTTATAACTAGAAGTTCCTGGTCTCTGCCATCCAGTGATATTCCTCCAAAATCCATGGATATTGTTGGGGTGAGGATATGAACTATAGAAATGAGCAGCTGTATATGATGATCTATGCCATTTTCTTCTTGTATCTAATGTGAATTTCCAGGTGGCCAAGAGCAGACCCCTCAGTGTACACTGTCCAACTGAGAAATTTTAATTTTTTTATATTTTCTATGTCATTTCAGCAACTGTTCAAGTTTAAAAGGCTGTAACACTAAGGAATAGATTAGGAAGCACTGTTTTCTACATTTTTTTTCTTCCAATTTGAAGAGAAGTTTATAATGTGTCCAGAAGATTCTGAAAAGTTAAAAAATGATAAGATCAAGTATCTAAATGTCTCTAAAGAGGGTTTGTAGTATGAGGATTTAACATTGCATTGATCAGTTTTCCTGTTGCTGAGACAAAATAACTGACACTCATGACTTAAGGGAGGAGAAGTTTAATTTGGCTCATGGTTTCAGTTCATGGTTGGCTGACTCAAAGGCATAAACATCATGGCAAGAGGGTGTAGTGGAGCAAAGTTGCTTAGTTCATGATGGCAAGGAAAAGAACAGAGGAACAGTGCCAGAGAGGAATGGGCAAGGGGCCATATATATTATCCAACTCCATGACCCACACAGACAAACCCAGGAGCATGCTTTACTAATCTTCAGGCGTTTCATAATTCAATGAAGTTGACGTATCAGAATTAATGGTCACAATCTACCCTTTGTCAACTTTACAACCAAACACATCTCCCTACTTAATCTTGAAATAAAGAAAAGAGCAAGTTCATATTTCCCACTCACATAATACAACTATCTCATATTTGATTGGAAATGCAATAATCTCTTCCCCAAAATTTCAGCAGTTCCAGTAATTTCAGAAGTCCAAGTTCAGATTGCTTGTGAGACTAAAGTGACTCTTAACTGTAAAACTCTATAAAAGTAAAAAGTAAGTTACATAATCCCAAGGTGCAATGGCACATGGTAAACATTCCCATTCCAGAAAGGAGAAATAAGGGCCATAGAAAAGAATAGGACTAAATTAAAATAGAAACCCAGCAGGGGAAGAATAAAGTTCAGTAGCTCAATATCTGGCATCTGAAAAAAGCAATGGTAAAATGTTAAGGCCTGGGCAACCCTGTTCTTATGTTCCTGGCAGTTGAATCATACATGACTTCTCTCTTGGGCTGACTGCACTCACGACCCGCAGCTAGCTTTTCTTGGCTGATGTTCCATGTTCCATGGAAAAAATGTAAACATATTTTCTGCTGCAGTATAACACATATGGCTTCTAATCTAACTACCAATAGAGTCTTTGGTCCCAACTGAGACTTCTTGAGCCTGGACTTTACTGTCCACATTCTTATCAGCCTCCTCCACTTTTGAGCTCCAACTAGAGTCACCTGTCAAGCTCTGCTTACAGCATTTTAGGGTTTCCCTAGTCAACATCTCCAAACTTTTCTTAACTTCTACCTCAAAACTGTTGCAAAGACTTTTCAACCACAATGTAAGGTATAGTCACTGCAACAACCCCATTTCTCTGGTACCAATTTTCTGTATTAGTCAGCTTTCCCATCACTAACACACAATACCCAACAACCACAACTTCAAGGAAGAGAGGTTTATGTTGGCACACAGATTCAGGCATTCTGTTCATGGTTGGAAGGCTCCAAGGCAGAAAAGTATCATGGCTGAAGGGCACAATGGAGCAAAAATGGCTTAGTTCAAGGTTGCCAGGAAGCAGAGCAGGGGTACAAAACCAGAAAGGAATGGGCAACATACCCAGGAGCATGCTGTAGTGATCTTCTAGGTGTTTCTTATCCAGTAAATTATATGTAACAGGATTAACAGTCCCAAATATCAGGCAATGCTAACATGTTGCAAGGGTGGTAGTGGAGATGATGGAGAATCATTAAGTGGGAAAATATAAGGAATGTAGCTTCTCACAGAGGTTTTCCAACTATCTAAAAAATAAAAAGTACTAGACAACCTCCCAGGGCCTTCTTTTTTTCTGTACCATGATTGAACTATGGACAATTCACAATTAAACAGTGTTCCCTCATGGAGAGCACTCAGAGGAACATGAACTAGAAATCAGGAGGGGAAATACATGGAACAATTATCTTAAGCATTTCCATTTATGGCTTATCAGGAATGGCTATCACAGCAATACTGCAGATTTAGAAGAATACATGTTGATATCACTATGTAGAAACCTTTCTTAAAAAGTTGTATAGATGTCATGACCGTCATGAGACTTAGAAGGGAGACTTAGTTTGGTCACTTACTATTTAAAATGTCATCCAGTTGTTGAACCCCTCCAAACCTTCTGATAATACTCATAAAGATGAATGAAACACACAAAAACACAAGATATGTCTTAAATATAAGATTGAGAAATAAGAAGCAAAAAGAAGGTAGATTAACAAATGAAGGACTATGGGAAGCTAACAACAAAATGCTATTTTACTTGAAGTCGGCCAAGGAATAATCTTTTCCTCTTTTTTATATTAAGTAATTTCCACAAATATGTTTTCATCCATAAACAATGGTCCCCATAGATGTTTCACTCTCCATTTTCTTCCACTTTGCAATAGATGGGCTTTTGATGTTCCAGCAAGTACCAGTGATGGAGATGGATGGGATGAAGTTGCTGCAGACCAGAGCCATTCTCAACTGCATTGTCACCAAGTCTGTGGGAAAAATATAAAGGAGAGACTCCTGTATGGATATTTTCTGTTGTTACATGAGGAGACTACACAGGGAAGATTTAGGTTCCAATTTGAGTGAGCAGGACCATGGCAGGTGGACTGTGATCAGCAACAGGGTAGGTCTGGACATATACAGTGAAGTAATGATGGCAGAGTCCTAGGAAATGATGAAAGAATAATGTATAGTAAAGTATTGGTATAGATTCAGATGACTGTGATTATATCAGAACACGATGTGCTCAGGTATAGCACAGCTTTAGATTTTTTTTTTGGTGCTGGGGATCAAACTTAGGACCTTGAGGTTGTGAGGCAGGCGCAGTGCCATTGAGCTAAATCCCTGGCCCATGTTAGAGTTTTCAAACACTGGTAAACCATGAAATCACAAGTATGATGGAATCATGATCCCAGGTGTTCAGTGCTTTATAACTTTGATTTAATCTAACAGCTTGGGACAAGTGTCACAGTGTTTGAGGATGAGGAAGAGGCATCCTGGGGTAGGAGAATCCAAAAGAACTGATTCTCAAGTTGCAAAAATTATAATAATGATGATCTGGAATTTAATTTACCAGCTAAGCCTACGGACAGGTCAACTTGATGAGTATTAGTGGCAGTCAATGCCTATGATACAAGGGCCATTTGAAACATTTCCTACAGGAGTAGAATAGCCTGGCTAAATCTCAAAAAGCCATGGCTGGAGGTGCCAGGGGTGCACTTCCTGTTGTGATGGAACTATTTGACTGAAAATAAAATCCTGTATGGAGTTGTTGGCAGTTCCTCAAAAAGTTAACAACAGAGTTATCCAGCAAATCCTTTGCTAGGTATACATGCATGGGAAATGGAAATAACTTTATTTTTTTGTTTTAAATTTTGAAATGCATCTTTACTAAATTCAGGTTAGTACAGTATTCAAATTAATAACATTCATTCATTCATTTAAATTGTTGCTTGGTAATATATAATTTGGGAATCATTTTAGGAACTATATGAGATTAACTATTTTTTTTCTGGAGCCCGGAATTGAACTCAGGACGTTATGCTTGCCAGGCAGGCACTGCACCACTGAGCTACAACCCTGGCCCAATCTTAACTATTTTAGACTTCTTCTTCTTCTTTTTTTTTTTTTTTGGTACTGGGGATCGAACTCGGGACCTTGCACTTGCAAAGCAGGCGCCGGAACCACTGAGCTAAATCCCCCGCCCAATTTTAACTATTTTAAAGGATACAAATCACAGGTCTTAAGTACACTCACATTATTGTGCAATAATAGATCTCTAGAACTTTTCCAATTTTCAAAACTGAAATTCTATTTCCATTAAACACTAATTGCTCATCCCTCTTTCCCCTTAGGAGTTATCTTTCTACGTTCTAGTTCTATGATTTTGACTACTTTGAATAATTCATATGAGTGGAATCATACAATGTTTGTCCTTTTGTGAGTGATTTATTTCATTCAGCACAATGTCCTCAGAGTTCATCTATATTGTAGCACATGACAGGAGTTTGGTATTTTTAAGGCTGTATAATTTCCATTCTGTGGATATACCACATTTTCTTTATTTATTCCCTGTTCACTGGACATTTGTGCTGGTTCTACCTGTTGTGATAATGCTGCAGTGAACATAGGTGTGCAAATATCTCTTTGAGATTCTGCTTTGAATTCTTTTGGATACATATCCAGACTACTGAATCCGCTGGTAATACAAATTTAATTTTTTGAGGAACTTCCATGCTGTTGTCCATATGGATGTACACCAACAATACAAGTGTTCCAATTTTCTTACATCTTCTCCAACACTTTTTGTTTTTTATTCTTTTTAGAGTGGCTGTCTTAGTCACTTTTCTCATTGCTGAGACAACATACAGTCAATACCCAAAGTTAAAGGAAGAAAGGTTTATTATAGCTTATAGTTTGTAGAAGTTTTAGTTCATAGTCAGCTGGTTCCAAGGCAGGGTAACATGGCAGAGGGACATCACAGAGGAACAATAGCCCATGCCAAGCAGGCAGGAAACAGCAAAACAGCAAGTAGCACCTACTTTCTTTCTATCCTTTTATATTCCATCCAGGATGCAAATTTATTGGTTGGTGCCATCTACATATGTGAGGGGGCACCCTTAATCCCAGGAACACACCCTTAATCCTAGCATCACACACCATAGAACCAGCCAGTTCCAAAAAACTCCCACCTATGACTGCATGATGCTTTGGGGGGTACATCTAAATATAAGTCATAACAGTGACCACCTAAATTGTATTTGAATTTCTACTATGACTAGTGATATAAAGCATCTTTTCCCATGCTTGTTGGCATTTGGCTATTTTCTTTAGAGAATTATCTATTGAAGTTCATTTCCTATTTTTCACTTTGACTATTTGTAGGGTTTTTCTGTTGTTACCATTGAACTGTAGGAGTTCTTTATATATTAACTCCTTATCAGATAGGTGATTTGGAAATATTTCTCCCATTTCACACTATTAAGTATTTCCTTTTAGATAAATAACATGATTTCTATTCCTTTTTGTGTGGCATTTATTTATTGAATGATTTAATTTATTCAAAAACTTTGTGGGTTTGTTAAATCCAACAAAGGCATCAAGAATGAGGATCAAATATGACATCAAAAGCACAAGCAAGGCCTGGTGTGGTGGTGGGCTGCTATAGTTCCAGGCACTGGAGAGGCTGAGGCAGATGGATTGCCTGAGGCCAGGAGTTCTAGGCTAGCCTACATGTTATAGTGAGACCTTGTCTCAGGAAAGAAAGAAAAAGAAAGCAGGGGTGGGGGGAGGAAAGAAAGAAAGAAATTAATATTAGAAATTAAAATGAGACAGGCAACAAAAGCAAAAAAAAAAAAGACAACAAGGACAATTTCAAAGTTTAAAACCTTATATGTTAGAAATATACTTAGCACTATTATTCAAAATGTTCAAATTAGAGGGCCGGGGATTTAGCTCAGTGGTTCCGCTCTGCCTTGCAAGCGCAAGGTCCTGAGTTCGATCCCCGGTACAAAAATAAAAATAAATAAATAAAGAGAATATACATATAAAATAGAAAGAAAATGAAACATATAAGGCCATGTATTTTATGATTTTCCATGAAATGTTCAGAACAGTAAAATTCATAGAGTGGCTGGAATTAAGGATAGATGGCAAGTGAATTCCAAATCATACAAGATCTTTTGAGCATGTTGTATAAAATAAAAATGTCCTGAAGAGTGAAAGTTAATGTTTGCAGAATTCTACAAATGTGCAGTGCTGAAAACCTTGAATATTGTATTTTCAAGGACAAAGTAGGTCTGTGAATATGTGGCAATAAATCTGTCAAATAAATTTCTAAACACCTAGAATATCCAGCTTGAAATAACAGAAATAAAGATCTCTTATGGTATGCACTGGTTGTGACTGAATTTTAAAATGTACCAAGGAAGGGCTCTTTTAAGCAAAATCATTAGAAATGAAAATAAGGCTAGACTTGGAAAACGGCTTGAGGAAAAGATTGTGTATAGGGAATGGGTATTGGGAGTTGCCAGAGACCCCTGCAGTGGTTCTGGCCTCCTGCAAGCCAGTATGATGCTTGTGAAATAGGAAAGTGGGAATTAAAAGAAACACAGAGACAGAGACTTGAGAGAACCTGAGACTTGGGCTGATATAAGCTGCTCTGGGCAGCAAAGACAAAGGACTCCCAGGACGTCCAGTGTTTATTCATTACAAGTGTGGGAAGGGGGGAAGCTGGGCAGGCCTGGGACACCTGCTGATAACCAGTATCAAGCAGGCAGGACTGCAGATGAGGACACAAGCGTATCTTTGCTGAAGAGAACAGTTAATTCAGAAGGGAAGAATTTAGCTGGAGTCAGTTGATCTTGACTGGGAGTGAACTCAGCCAAGCTCTGCTACTTCCAATGTAACACAGTTGAATTATGGAGGGGCAAGAAGCTTGTGCCACTATATCTTGCTAATACTGGACAAAGGTGTCTGCTACAATTGTGGAAATGTGTTTCATGGGAAATAATTGGAAGAACTTCCAACACTGAACATGACAATGAGTCTGTACAGCATAATGGGATGTGAAAGGGATGAGCCGGAGAGGCTGTGCCAGGAACTCTGTCATGAGCTTAAATTGAGGCTCTTCGGAAGCAAACAAGATTGTGAACGAACAAACCACTTAAGAGGCTGCACACCGTAGTTTGATGGTTACATGCACTGATTCCACCAAAGTTTCTCTTGACTGTGAATCTGAGGTGGGTACAGATGCTCTTTGTATCTATATTTGTTCATGAGTATAGCAAAAATTTTGGATATATATCTATCCCAATAGATTGTTGTAAAAAGTAAATGTTAATATATAAATAAAGCTCATAGTGTAATGACTAATCTATAAAAGGTACCCCCCAGAGATTAATTTCTTTGCAACCACATAATGTTCTTATTTACCTAGGTTTTTGTTTTGTTTTAGTACTGGGAATTGAACTCAGGACCTTGAGCTTGCGAGGCAGGTGTGGTGCCACTGAGCTAAATCCCCACCCCTTACCTAGGTTTTAAACCATAACATCTAAGGTATGAAACATTTGACTGGATGTGTTTGTCTTTCAGGATTGATATGTATACAGAAGGCATTATAGATTTATATGAACTGTTTATGTGTGTGCTAGTAACTCCAGATAAAAAAGATACCCGGATGGCCTTGATCAAAGACAGAAGACAGAATTACTACTTCCCTGTTTTTGAAAAAGTAAGTGAGGTTTTTAACTCAGTGGCATTGCACCTGTCTCGCAAGCACAAGGTCCTGAGTTCTATCCCCAGTACCAAAGGGGGGTAAAAATAGATTGAGCTAAAAGTAAGTGAGCCTGCTCAGAGTTTTGGGAGCACTGAGTTCAGAGGCTTGGAGAAATTCTGTGGCTGCACAATCCTAGAGCCTTGACCTTCATGTCTAGTGAATCCTCTGGAACATCAGTACCCTACCCTCAGTCTCAGGGTGTTTTATAAAACTGGACTTGAGGAAGCATCGTATAGTTATACCAAAGGTGTAGTTTTTGAGCCAAAGTTCAACTTATTATGCCTCAATGTAGAATTTAGTATTAGGCAGAATTTCATGTTCACATGAGAATTTTGTGCATGGAAGACTCTGAGCCATACTTGAGTTTATACAGGTCCTATAGTACCCTTTTGGTTTCTAGTGCAGAACAAACTGTTGAGAACAGCACATCACAAAGTATTCTGGCCTCATGTGTAGGGAGACATGGAAGCAGATGCCTATCAGAATATTGTAGTATTTCAGGGATGAACGTGAGGACTCTAAACAAGGATAGTGGTAGAGGAGCAGAGAGGAGAATATGTAAAGAAACGATAAGAAAAAACAGTCTACAAGACTTGAAAATTTGGCCCTCAAACTTGAGAGGAAAGCCACAGAAACTAAGGAAATAAAGGTTCATAATTATACATTCAGACCCTATCTTAATTAAGGTTCCTTTCTGAAGGTAAATCATGAATATTTACGATCAAAACCACGTGAACTGAAGCGAAATAAAAAAAAAATGATCATGAGACACAGAATGATACAAATAAAAGAATTACTCCATCAGCACTCATTTTATAAAACATCATTCTTTAATTTCTTCAATAAAAGTTAATTCATTGTTGATTTTACCAGGAAAAGGAATGATGATTTTAAGAGCAATCAAATCATAAAATACAGCCCCGTAAACCTTGTGGTTGTCAGTTAAGGACACATAACATGGTGACAGGTTCTCCAGCCGAGACAGTTTAAGTCATGTGTGCTATGAAATCAAAGAGCTCCAAGCAAAAATTGAACAATGTATATTATAACAGGTATTTGATGTTGTACTCTGGCTTTGTACCAAGTAGTTATCTGATAGAGTGCTTAATGAAATTTTTAAGACTAGTTTTTCTTTGGAAGGTAATGTCATATATATCTTTTTCCTCTCTATTTGCTCTGATTTCCACACTGCTAGAATACTTAAAGAAATAATCACATACTTTGAGTTTACTATACGTTTCATACATCCAAAGAGCTGAAATAAATATTGAATGAATGCATATCACCTAGATATGCTGCCTCTATCATGTGTCCATGCCTGTACCCCTCTCTCCATCAAGCATACAAATTTCCATGAATTATAAAGCAAGTTGCAGATATCAGCACTATTCACTGCTAGGGAACTTCCATGAAGATTATACCAGTCTAAGGAAGGAATCAGAGCCCATCTTGCAAAGGAATGATGAATTCAGGTTAACCCAGGTTTATCTAAGATCCCAGAGAAACAATCAGAACATGAAGAGAGCAGAGACAAGGAGAAATCTAGGCACTAAAGTGGTCTGCACATGTGTGAAGGGTGCTGCTGTGAGGGTGGAGCTGCTCCCACAGGAGATGGCACACAGAGAGCAGAGGGAAGCTGTGTGTCCTGAGGATTCAGGGCTGTTACTCTCAGGTTGTGAGCAGATGGAAATGTGGTCCAGCAGGAGCTGAGTCCTTGGCACATGTGGAAAATGCAGAGAAGGGTGGCAGTATGCACATGACAATGAAAGGGGTGCCTGGGCTCTAACACAGGAGTGAGCAGGGCCTACTTCTCAACCTCCCTCATGAGTTAGGGCCCTGAAAAGGTCTGGAGCTCCACACCCATCAGGGAGGCAGCAGCACAGTTGAGTTGGGATGAGAGGCCCAGGGGAAAGCTGAGGTCCCAGTCTGACTGTACCTGTTCACAGTCTGTCTTCTCAAATTCTGCAGGTGTTAAAGAGTCATGGACAAGACTACCTTGCTGGCAACAAGCTGAGCAGGGCTGACATTCACCTGGTTGAACTTCTCTACTGTGTTGAAGAGGTTGATGCGAGTCTTTTGGCTGCTTTCCCTCTGCTGCAGGTGACTATTCCACTGCCCTCAAGAGGCGGCCCCACATCTCCCACAGTGAATCTCTTATTTGGTTCCACAGTGTAGTCCTGACTTCCAGCCTCCTCCAGGTCTTCCAACACCTTCCCCCATGTCTCCAGAGTGACCTTCTAGACCTTGGATTTGAGGGATGAGGACAGTTTTTCTGTGCAAGGAAATAAGAGCTACACACTGTTCCAAGAATATTTACTTTTTAAAGGATTAGGACTCAGGGGCCCACATCTCTCACTGCCCCTCATTCCCTTGTGGGCCTCATTCTTGCTCTCTCTGGGATCCTCTTTATCCCAGATATCTTTGTCTTTGCACACTGATTCCATCTGAGCAGGTTTCTGTCCATCCTATGTCCTTCCCTCAACCCTGGCTTCCATTGTCAGACATTATCTTTCTGTCTCCATAGCTTCCCATCCTGTACAGCTGGCCACCACCCAACACCCCACATCAGTGTTATAGAGTGAAAGTTGATTGTGTCTGGTCCTTGATTAATATTTTCTGTCTTCATTTCCAACTTGGTTTTTTTACCTCTATTTTTCTGTTTTTAAGTATATCTCTGCTTATATTGGACAGACGCATTGTTCTTTGTGTTGTAGGGAAAAATGGATCAAGAGATTATGTCTAAGAAAGTAGAAAGGTCTATGACCTTAATAAAAATTTAAAAGAAATGTTTAATGAAGATATTGTTGAGCTATGCATTCTCCCTTTTATATTCCTTATTACTGAGTATCTGTTTGAAGCGTCATACTGGTAACAATATAGCCACTCAGGTGGTCTTTTTCTGGGGTGGGAGATTTTGAGCGTTTTCTAATAGTTGGATTTTACTTTAAGATACCCTCTAATGCTATAAATTGTGTGTTGCAGGCCCTAAAAACCAAAATCAGTAACTTGCCCAATGTGAAGACGTTTCTGTAGCCTGGCAGCCAGAGAGGAAGCTTCCCACTATTCAGAAAATGATGGAAGAAGCAAGAAAGATTTTCAAGTTTTAATAAAGTTGGCATTAGCTAAGCTCATGCATATCAAGCATCTCAATTTTGCAATAATGAAATTCTATGCCTAAGTATTGATTCTGACTATTGTGAGATAATAAGCCATTCCAGATTACATAAGGTCATGCCAGAATAAAATACTTCTGAGAAGTCTTAAGACATTTTTCTCACAGGATATGATATATAATTAGATTTGAATGTCCTTCCCTTGGATATAAAATTTTTACTTAAAAAATGAGGATTATATGTTTTGCTTTACTTTCCAAAAACTGTCCTATAATAGCTGTCACATAGTCCATCAAAGAGAGAAATTTACAAATTTTCATTTTACAATTTTACTAAGCAAAGAAAATGGATGTAATTCTGAGAAATAACATAACAAAGCTTTCCACCAAGCCATCAGCTATATGCAGACTCACGTCCCTACTGCTGGGTAAAGGAGTTTCCATCTGCTATTAGCCTTCATGTGCTTCATTGAAAATCTTATAAAAAGTTTCTTCAAAAAGCCAGTCTACAATGATTTGCAAAGACAGTGGAATAAATTTGATTTATTTAAAAAATTTTTTTGATTTATTTTTAACTTTTAATTGGGTGTCTTGAAAAGGCAGATTTAAACCAGTTGCTTTGTGGAAATATGTTGACTTCTAATTCTTCTTCCAGTCCTGAATAGATTCCCTACCTGAACTCTGCCCCCTTCAGTGGAAAGGAGTTTGTCAAAAGAGTAAATGGTACAAAATCCATCAGGACATCATAATGAGCTCTGGAGCCGAGAGAGAGAGAGAGAGAGAGAGAGAGAGAGAGAGAGAGAGAGAGAGGAAAAGAGGGGGGATTCTTTAACAAATTCAGTACTCTTCTTCACACTTGTCCATTGAATCACACCCTCCCATTTTCACTAGAAAAATACCTTAGACTATATCCTCAGCACAAGAAAAAGTCTGCCTTATACTCAGGTCAAGACCTTTTTGGTGTATATAGGTGATAATCTAAGAGTTGTTCTTTGAGCTGTTGTGGGGTACATCATTACAGAGATGTAAAAATGATAATTTAGAAAACTAGAGCATGAAAATTCAATGATGTGAGAACAATTAATGACATAGGAAAAGAAGAGATATAGTATGTTAGAAATCTGAGCCTGTGCCCAATGCAAAGGAGAAGGTAGGAGTTTATGCTGAAATTGCTCTGTCTATAGAAGTGATGACAAAATGATTGTGTGCTGAAATTTGTCAGGATCAATGATTGGAATCCTCAAATGACCAGTGATGGTGACCTATATCTGCATGGTTCATGCCTTCAAGTGCTTCTCAGCCTCTGCATCTTATGAGAAAGGAGTTACTCATGCCTACTACACACAATCTAATTTACAGCTGGATGTTATTTATGATACACAGTACCTCTTTTCTTTGTCAGAGGTGCTGTGTGATTGGTTAACAAACATTGATGCCATTGGCTTTTCTATATTTCTTTCTTTTTCCTTTTTCTTTCTTTCTTTTTTATTTGTGATACTGGGGAATTGAACTCAGAACTTTGCACTTGCCAGGCAGGTGCAGCGCTACTGAGCTACATCCCAGTCCTCTACATTTCTTCAATGTCAGTGTGCTCCACTGGCAGGCAGAATTTTTCATGAGCAATTGTTAGGATCTTTTAGGTGAGTATAAATCTGTAGAAGTGTTGGAATTACATAGGAAAATGACCTGGTTATATGATCTTGAGAAAATTAAAAAGAATAATTCTTTTCTTGTGAATTGTCATATTCTCAGTCCAACAAACATTTATTAGTCCTAGCCCTTTATTAAAATCAACACTTGTCTCATTATCATTAGTCCTAGCCCTTTATTAAAATCAATATTTGTCTCATTATCATTGTCTCTTTATCAATTTCTATTCTTTATTCTTTCTGTGTCTTATCATTGGGGGAGACTCTGTTCTTTATTAATCCAGTTGAAGTTGGAGAAAACTGTCTGAAAACCAGGATTGGTAGACCCAGTGTTCTGGTTATTATTTAATGTTTCTATACTAATTATTCTCAGCAAGAAAGATCAAAGCAAGAAATGGTAGGGCCTGGGTGACCACTGAAACATCTTGCAGTGCAATGATACTGGCATATGACTGTCATATGAGCTTTGGGGTTGTCCTGCTCTTCTTTTTCTAGAAGCTTGAGGCTCAGCATCAGGTTGTTTAATTGGGCTC